CCGTATCGCGACGGTGCTGTATGTCGGCACGCTGCCCATAAGGCTGTCAGCGCCGACAAATTAATTTATTAATGTTACACAACTTTCTATTTTAAGTAAATGCTGTTTATTTGAAGTTTCTATTCCTGAAAAAATTTTTCCACAAAAACGTTAAGCAGCAGACAGTTTTCAACATATAGTTAGTTTAAATTGTAATAATATTACTGTTCTTACTTGGTGAGCATAAGAGATTTCTTTCAAAACAATTTTACCAAGCCCAAACTTTTGCATGTTAGTGTATTTTTCTTAACTTTGTTCCTTGACCATGTAAAGGCTAACTGCATTAAATAAAATCACCTCTGATTGATCAGTGGCATGCAGCAGTGACAAAACATGAAATGTTTGCTTATGCTTATCTTATGTTGCCAAATTCACTCAGCCACCTCTCTCTTATTAAACAGAGCCTGAAATCAAACATTTGCCATTATAAACATACTGTCCTCTGCTCCCACAGACTGCACAGAGGAAAATCAGGGAGATCATTCAGCAGGTGAAACAACAGGAGCAGAAGCACCAGCAAGGCGCCCCCATGACACACCGCTCCAAGTGACCATCAGGGCAGCCCCAGCGGGCACCTGCCAATGAATGTAGCCCTCCCAACTGGAATCAGACCAGACCAGACCGGACGAAGGGGACTGGCCGGGCAGACCAGCAGCCGTGGGATCAAAACCAAAGAACTTCTTTCTGGGGGAGATGAAGGAGCCACAGGCAGAAGGGCTCTGAGTGCACTGCCAGCTTGGGGAGGGAGGGGGGAAGGAAGTGCAAGAAGACAAGTGTTCCTTTTATTGTTCAAATACACCCTGAGCTTGAGAAGAATAGGTATGGGGCATCTGTTATCAGGATGGGAAACATCACGGTCGCCCCACGTAACAATTTCTTAATTTAGGCTTAATCTAGGGTTAACACAGATAAGAAGCTCCATTAACACATGTACACTGTTGCATTTTGACTGAGTTGTGTTGCTGTTTTCTGGGGTAGGTAAAGTGTGGGTGTGCACTAGCAGTTGGCGACCGATTATTATTATTGTTTTTTTGTTATTTTTTGATGCTCAGATTGCGATTTCGATGATTCTCAGCCGTATTCTCACCAGTACACTAGAACAAATATACTGTTATATCTAAAGCAGAAGCACGATTCTTCTTGTTTTGCACAAGCCATCGGGCGTGTAGTGCACATCGCGTATGCATATATCATGTTTTTCAGATTTCTTGATGATGGGACAAGAAAGTTGGGAAATGTAAATGACAGAACGTTTATTCATATCTTAGCCTGTTTGCATTTCGGGAAACATCATCCAACTCAACGGGTCCTTGTTACTTAGCCTGTGCGTGCCAACGGATGCCGTTAAAAAATTTATTTCTGTGCATATCTTTAATTTTTTCGCTTTTATCATTTGTAGTTTGTTCTTATTTCTGTCCAGCTCTTATACTCCCTTTTTATTTTTCTGCATTTAGTAATTTCATCGCCACCGCATTCTTGTGGCGGCAGTTATTACGAGACGGAGTAAGGTATGTGGTAGATGTGGCTTAGGAGTCACCACCCCTTGTTTGCTTTTGGGGGTATGAAAAGAATATAAAGCAAGCACCAGTGTCTGAAAGACAGTGCACCTTTACTGGCTCGGGCAGAACGAAATCGAATGTGCACCAAGAACTCTGCCTTAATCTATGCTGAAAGGAAACGAAAAGACGGGTGACTGAAAATGTGATTGGAGGGTCAGGTTGATGTGGGACGGGGAGGCACCTTATGACCTGTGGTACACACACGACTGCGTTTGGCTTTAAATCTCTTTGTCAGGGAGCTTTCTAAACGGCATGACAGCTGTGAATGTACAATAAGCAGCCTTTTAGAAAGCACCACCCTGTCATGTTCAGTAAGCTGGTTGGTTGGCAAGATTGTTATTGGTTTGTTTGTTTTTTACCAATACTCGGGCTGTTTTGGGAAACTGATTGACTGTTTCAACAGGACGTGCAGGCATGGATATCCCTTTGGGCTTTATTTTTTTCTTCTTTTTGACCATGGAAGCTCGTGGCCTTAAACGTCTCTGGTCTATGTCATCACAGACAGCTCCCTCGCCCAATGAGAGCTAAGCCTCATCTTCCAGACGCAAGGTTTATGCCAATACGCACAGCTTCCATTTGTGTGTATGCGTGTGTGTATATAGATATATATATATAAAGAGAAATATTTATGAATCTATTTTTTTTTTCCTATTTTGTGACGAAAGCTATTAATAAGAAACAAACAGAAAAACAAGTCTTTTTTGGTGGAACACTGCCATGTTATTCTGAAGGGAAGTGTTTATTTTCTTGGAAGTAGACTATTGGTAGTATACTAACAGTAAGAACAGTAATGAATCACCGCAACACTTTGATCAGAATGTGATCGGTGCGCATGTCAGTATTGTGATCTACCTCAGGCGTCAGGGTACCTCAGTCCAATCTTTAAGTTCCCTTTTTTCTCCCCACATTTTGTATGCCTTGTAAACTGAAAGTTTTGAACGTTTTCTTTTTTATAATAATAAAAAAGATCAAGATAAAGATCTAGTCTGAAGTCTTCAGGTCCATCTGACAAAGAAGAATGGATCTTAAAGCTTTCAGAACTGTATGGGAATTTACTTCATTCTTTTAAATCACAACCTCGTGATTTATTATAGAATGTATAACTGAGGGGTACTTACCTGCCCGAAAGGGGTTCTGAATGGATAATGTGTGCTGATGTCTAGATCAGTGACAAACGGTTAAAAAAGACTGAATATCAAGCAGAATGGCTTAATTCGAAGCATTCTCCAGGAGCAACTGCGCTGTCTGAAGCATAAGCCAGCTTTCTCTTTACATTTTATAAAAATGCATCCAAATTCAGGAATTACAGTCAGACCAAATTTTTTAATTAAGGTTTTTTTTAATCAAGGCCTTTCACAAAACAAAACCAGGTTGATATAAAATAAAAAATTGAAGAAAAAAAAAAGAAGCTTTTTTCTTATTGTAATTCACAGAGTAACTGTTTGGTAAAAGTGTTTATCGTAATTACGCAAAAATCACAAATGCAGGTATTTTGTCGCCTCAGATCTGCAGTGGATCTGTTGCCAGTTGCAGTCATTTCGTGTTACCGCTGAAGCAACAAGGCCTATGTCAAATCAAGACAGAAGACAGTAGAAGGTCACTATGTTAGGTCCAGGTGTGTGTACTTGGGATGGCTGGTTTGCTTTCATACAGTAATTCACACAATTTGTCTGTGGACTGAACTGCAAGCTGTCCCACTCCATAGTTTTAGTTCTAACCTTTGACCGTTTTCGATAGGGTCGTGTTACTGTAGACCTGTGTAAATCGTTTTTTTACCTACTGAAGCAACTCGTCCACACTTATCCGCAAAGAGTAGCACAGACATCAGGTGCTGAAGGTGTTTCTATTAGTAAAGGTTAGAGGCTTCTGCTAGATTAGGTCAGTTTGTGGATTTCTCGCAATTTTTCACTCAAGAAGCTGAATATGATTCTTATGGTTCTTGACTCTGTGAAGGCTTGTAGCTAGACGAGGCCGTCATTTCCCCTGAATGATAGACTTTCTGCTTAATCTCAGGTGTTTGCTCATTGATGGAGTTCAGGTTGTGTAGCAGTATGATAACTCAGATCACTTTTAACTGTTATTGTAACTGTAACGCGCCACGCTGTCGATAGACACCTATCTAATGTTCTACAGTGGTTCTTAACTTTTCTTAAGAGTTTGTATTTCGAGGCTTCGTCAGGTGTGCATCAGTCGTGCATCAGTATTTAACTTTACGGAAGCATTAGTCGATACGTGCATTAACTAACATCACACTGTTATATTGTCTCTGTAGTCTGGTAATTAAGCTGTCTCGCTATCCATTATGATATCCTGTAATGTAACGCTAGGAAGAATTGAGGTCTTTGCATTAACTTTAGGCCAAAAGTCATAGCTAATAGAAGTCGAACGAATCAGGTCAGTTTAGGATAGCTGTTGTTTGTAGTGTTGGCATGAAATCTCATCGTGGTCTTCTTTGGGCCCTAAAGCTTTTAGGGTGAATGGAGACTTAAGGTAGGTGCTGTTCTATGTTTATTTTTTGATATTAGAATAGACCACAGGCACAGCTATAGTTGCTCACAGTATGACGGCACCGTTCTAGTCGTGTTTAACTCGGGATGAGAGCAGGAAATCAGAGCGATGCATGAGAATTCAATGCAAATCATAGGCTGTGAAAACTTCTTTGCGCCTTTACCACGGCAGATCCATTCCTACGCAGCTCTAGCTTCTCACGTTAGTTCATTTCGAGCGATGTGAAACAGAGACTGGGCTTGCTGCACTGCCTGCCGTGTCCCCTCAGCTGGATTGTGGGTTGTGGGGGGTTTGGGGGACTGAGAGCTGAACTTTTTTTTTTTTTTTGCTAACAACCATGTTGTTTTGAAATGTAGGTGAACTGTACTGCTGATCAACATGGATTTGAGCAATAAAAATTCTTTATAAAATTCTTGTCTAAAGCTCATCTTGTTGGACGGGGATCCAATCCTCCTCCTTTAGGACCACTGTCTGGTGGAGTTTAGCTTTAGTACTAATATAACACATGCTTCACACTTACGCTTTTCACACTTTGATACATCCTCAAAATGTTTCGTACAAGACTGAAAAGTCAGCTGTGAGAGCTGCAAATAGCAAAAGACAGATGGTCATTATCACACATGCAAGAGAAAAGCACACCTGGAGGCTGCAGTCTCCATTTCACTTGGGTTGTCTTCATCATTAGATTTTCTCGTCTCTCCATGGTCTTGCTTAGGCAGCCGAGGTCCAGGAGGGATAAAAGAGGACAGTAAATAAAGGTAAAAAGTAGCCGTCAATATTACAGCAATCAGACCAACAAGCGAACGCATGACGGAGTAACTAGAGGGCGCAGATACTGCATGTCCAATTCACTGCGGATCACTTCCGGGAGCGAAATTACGAATCCTACGTAAGAAATGTGAGGCCACAAAAAAGATTTTAGAGCTCTTAAAAGTCACTTTAAATACAAATAGTAGCCACCCACAAAGCAGCCAAGGTGGACTGAATGACTGACTCCACACTGTCCCTTATCTGTTCTTCTTGTCTTGAGTGAGTCCATTTGTTTCAAGGCAATCCAGATGGAGATGTTGAGTGCTGTATTTACGGATCAGAGCTCCAGGCAGCAGAGCAACACAGGCAATAAACAGTAGTTTCAACACCACACTCCAGGAGAACAAGTCGTCCAGAGAGGAGAAATGAGACAGCATTGATCCCGTCTGGACGCAGATGAAGTTGTACGGCATCAGGCCTGAAAGAAAATACAGATGTTTTAAATCAGTTCTACAAATATTAAGGGAAATGTTCTGAAATATCATCTACTGTCATTTAACTGTGTTTACCAATGAAGACAGCCATGAAGAAAAGAGTGACAGGAATATTCAGTATTGGTGAGGTCATGTTTAAGAACCAGTTTGGACTCATGGGAAAGAATCTCAGGAACAGCAGGAAAAAGAACAAGCTACTTCTGTTTTCCTCAACCTGGGAAAAAAAAGTAAAAATGAGGAAAGTTTTGAACAAAATCAAGCAATGATACTTTGTATGTTGTACTTTCAGACATCTTAATAAAGGGAGTTCACCCAAAAATGAAAATTTGATGTTTATCTGGTTACCCCCAGGGCATCCAAGATGTAGGTGACTTTGTTTCTTCAGTAGAACACATATGATGATTTTTAACTTTAACCGTTGCAGTCTATCAGTCATATAATGCATGGCAATGTAACAAAATCTACGAGAGTAAAAAAAACATGCACAGACAAATCCAAATTAAACCCTGCGGCTCGTGACGACACATTGATGTCCTAAGACACGAAACGATCGGTTTGTGCCAGAAACCGAACAGTATTTATAGCATTTTTTACCTCTAATACACCACTATGTCCAACTGTCTTTGGGCGCGCACACGACATCCGGTGCGTGAGGTGTGTATGCGCTTTGGCGTAGTTAACGCAAGCGCCGGAAGTGATCTCTCGCGCATATACGTCACTCATTAACTTGATGTACCTTCTTTTGCAGCATGGCCACTTTGTCAGGGAAGAGTCTCACAATGTGCTGTTTGCCGAACGCCTGGGACAGGAGGAAACAGAGACTGGCGCCCACTGTGGTGAGGACACAGGCGAGGAGAAGACCATACCACGTCCCAAACAAGGCCCCAGCCAAGATGTTCTGTGGGGGGAAAAAAGGTCATAAGATCAAAGTAAATAAAGGTGCATGTTGTACATAATGCTCTTGCTAATATGCGTATGCCATTTGTCAAATTGACCTCCATTGGTTTTGATGTCATTTGCCAACACTACGAAATACATAAAACCTCTAGTGCAGCTTGTTAGAAACGAAAAAGAACATGAGAAATTATGAACAGTTCTTTCCTTTGTGTTAGGGGTCAATTTGACCCATGTATTTTTTGTACAAATCTACCTGCATTGATAAATATAAACATTTTTAGTGACTGTTCACACACTGAGGTGCAAATAAATACAACTAAGTATAAATAGTATCTAACATTATTTGTGTATGTTGTACATTTACATTTAATCATTCCGCTTTTATTTTTTTTTATAACAAGAAGAAAGCAGATAGAATAGAAATTGAATAGAGAGTGCTAGTGTGTTAGAGGGTCAAATATAGATGGAAGAGATGTATTGGTAAACAGCCTCTTCCTTTTATGTCATGTCTGGTTCTCAAACCCTTGTAAGGGCAAGTTAGTTTTCTCACACTTCTTTTCAGTTCCGCAACAGCCTAGTAACAACTGAAAACAAATAGTGTTTCACAAGTTTTGATTTTTGGTGAATCACATGGAAACCATTTGGGGGGTCAACATGATCATAGTCATCAAAATGTTTACAGCCTTTTCAAAACTAAGTGTTGAAACCTTGCATGTACATTTGTGAACCTAAATGAGGAAAAGGTCACAATTTCAAGAAGAAATAAATAGTCTGACCACTGTTTCAAGCAGTTGACCTGCATTTAAGTGTAACGCTTACTCTACTTACTAAGAAAGAGGAACCGGGTATAGCAAAAGCCTGCTTGTAGAGGTAGGCACTGCAGAAGAGTAACAACACATATCCTGTGTGCTCTGTCTTATAAAACTGCAACAGCTCTGCCATCTCTTTCAGCTCATCCAGGTCTGATGGGAACTTCAACCTGGACCAAAATAAAGTCACATGACAGGGTGGACATTAGTAAACTTGCAGGGACAGTATCTCTCGGGATTATGCATCTGGTTCAATGACACTATGGTGATAATTCCAGTATCACTCTTTAGCGAGGTTTAAACCTACAACGCTGATATTAAACCAACTCGTCAGAGATCAGAAAAACGTCTTAAAATGTAAATAATTTAAAAGACCGAGCTTCTCTAATATGATTAGAAGGTAGGGATGTTCAAGAATAAACGTGGTAGCAACAACAGATCTAATTTCACTGCCAAAGGACAAATGACAGCTGGAGACAAGGACAAGATAGAGAGCATCCATTTTGGAAATGCTTCATACTTACGTTTTTCACACTTTGCAAGCTATACATCCTCAAAATGTTTTGTATAAGACTGAAAAATCAGCTGTGAGAGCTGCATATAGCAAAAGACAGACGGTGGTCATTATCACACATGCAAGAGAAGCACACCTGGAGGCTGAAGTCTCCATTTCACTTGGGTTGTCCTCCTTATCATTAGATTTTCTCGTCTCTCCTTCATGCTCTTGCTTAGGCAGCTGAGGTCCAGGGGGGAGATAAGTGGACAGCAAATAAAGGTAAAAAGTAGCCGTCAATATTACAGCGACCAGACCAACAAGTGAACGCATGACGGAGTAACTAGAGGGCGCAGGTACTGCATGTCCAATTCATTTCCGCAAATTACGAATCCTACGTAAGAGACGTAAAAATTAATTAATATATGCTGCCGTAAAAAGCCGCTGATTGGTAGTATTCTTGACGTGCCTGGCCACGTGATCTATTTAATATTCATAAGCTAGACCCTCGATTGATTTGCCAGTTTACTAAACAGAAAATTATCAACATTTGGCCAGAGTATAATAAAACAGAACCAGAAAAAGTCAAATAGTATATTTAACTATTAACAATATTCCAGTCCCTAAGCGCCTACTACAGTATTGTTTAAAGTCATTTATGAAATGAAAAGATAAAATACCTCAGAAATAAACAATTCCACTCAAAATTATATTTAGTGTGCTCGTTTTAAAATGTTGCCAATCTAAAAATCGTAAATGACATTTGTCTTTCACCAAATCGGATAAAGAGACTACTGGGTGAACCTCACGTTACTTCATTAATATTCACGAGTCCGTCCTTGACCATAGTAGAATTTGTACATTCGCTTCCGGGAATGGAAGCGCTGTCTCCTGCGGCGACCAGATGTTATTTGAGTGACTTTAGCTTTTTTTTTTGGCAAAGCAATGTTTTATACTCTTAGTGAAAGTCAATTGTCATGGAAGATACGTAGGATGTGCGACGTCCTCACTCAAAGACGCAAGCGTAAATAATAAAGGAGTGGGTGTGATTGCACTGACGCACTGAGTTTGCTGGTGTTCCAAAGTCCCGCATTTCTTTCAGCTCACAACAACACCGTTCAACTCAACAAAATGGCACGATATGAACTTGTTAAACGATCAGTTGCTCTGATCACTCTTACCAACCCACCAGTCAATGCCTTAAGGTGAGTGAAAACCTGCTTATTCCTAAAACATAATGCATTTATTTAATGCATTATTATCCTTCTGTTTAAAAAAAAAAACAAAAAAAAACCAAACTACAGTAATGCATACAATCTTGCATTTTCTAGTATTATATTTCCTAATGTACTACTTTGTATTAAACGTTTTATAAATGCTAAGATTTATACACATGATCTTGTCCACATAGACAAATGTCCACTTTTCAAGTGCGTTGTTATAAACCCATCTAAGTTTATGAACAATAGTGATATGATTGAACATCTGCTTTCTCCTTAGTTCTGCAGTGCGTCATGCCATTGCAAAGAGCATGGAGCATGCCCTGAATGACCCAAAGGTCTCGGCAGTGGTCATCTGCGGAGAGAATGGAAGGTTTTGTGGAGGTTAGAATATTAAAGATAAATATCCTCCATTAGCTTTTTTTAGGTTGAAGATTATAATGAAGTGTTTCAATGAAATGCATGAGTTATGTAAGGGCTGAATATGACTTTTAAAATCTGAACAGACTTTAAAACACTTGCCAACATTGTACATAGTTACAGAGAAAAACTGGGCATATAACTCAGGATCACACACAACCACACTTTAAAGTTGTTCCAGCAAACTCATGCAGAAACATACCTCTCACTGTGTATTCAAGCCTCAAGAAGACAATCTAATAATATCTAATGAGGATGTGTTCTTCTGCAGGTGCAGACATCCGTGAGTTTGCTGGACCTTTAAGAGGACCTCCGTTGGTACCCTTGCTGGATGCCATAGAGGCTGGAGAGAAACCTGTGGTTGCTGCCATAGAGGGGGTGGCTCTAGGTGGGGGCTTTGAATTAGCCCTAGTCTGTCACTATCGTATTGCACACTTTAAGGTAAACCATTTTGTCCTGCTGTTTATTCTTGTGCACATGCATACTGAACTAGCTTCAATATTGTGCAACACTGTCTAGTGCTGATATGTCCCTAGTTAATCGGTTGAACTTTGATATCAATATTTGAAGTTTATCAGAGAAGGGAAAGGTTGTTGTTTTGTGGTTTATGCACTGAGTATGTAGTGTATAATGTATTATGTGTTCCAGGCACGTCTTGGACTTCCAGAGGTGACTTTGGGCATCCTGCCAGCTGCAGGGGGAACACAGCGTCTTCCCAGGCTCATTGGCATTCCTGCTGCCCTAGAACTGATCACCACTGGTAAATCCTACACTTAGCCTACTGGCACACCCACAATTCACCCCAACAGATTTCAGCCCCTCTGCTAACTTCAACCACATGCCCTCTCTGCAACCGTCCATAAAAAACATAACAGTCATGTCATGCGGAGAGTGTTTCTGAAATTTCTGATTGGCTAAGCAAAAATGATCCAGTCCCCTAATTCTTTTTTTTATGTCCTGTAACTGCCATTGCTGCTAATTCAAAAGAGATTTCATAAATAATTAAATAGTTTTTCAAATTAGCAAGTGCTAAATTTAATCCGATAAGGTACATTATGATAAAAAAAATGAAAGCAATAAATAACTACATTGTGTTTTCAGTAATAAATCAAACTTTTCCCACTAGGTGTCAGCATTGTATATTGTTTTTGATTGATTTGCCTTAGGGCTTAAAGCAATAGTTCATCCAAAAATGAAAATTGTGTCATTATTTACTCACCCTTATGTCATTCCAAACATATGTTTTTTTTTTCAGTGGAACACAAATAGAAAGAATTTTCACTATTGCCTTTTTTCTGTACAACATTTCAAATTTTATGATGACCACACATATACAGTGGGTACGGAAAGTATTCAGACCCCCTTAAATTTTTCACTCTGTTATATTGCAGCCATTTGCTAAAATCATTTAAGTTAATTTTTTTTCCTCATTAATGTACACACAGCACCCCATATTGACAGAAAAACACAGAATCGTTGACATTTTTGCAGATTTATTAAAAAAGAAAAACTGAAATATCACATGGTCCTAAGTATTCAGACCCTTTGCTCAGTATTTAGTAGTTTTTTTTTTTATTTATTTTTTTTTTATTTATTTATTTTTTTTGTGGGCATGCATGAACATTCTTTTTAAAAATCGTGTTTGTTTTTTTCTGGTAAAATAACAGCATACAAAATTGAAACACTGTGAGCATGAGTAATTTATTTTCATTTCTAAGCGAACTAATCCTTTAACAAATGAGCAATCAGATTTCAGTTGTTTTATGATTATGATGGGATTTTCCTCACCCGTTATCATAATATATTACGCAGAAAAATAATCAAGTAAAGCACCCCACATCTCTCAGCTTCCCTTTTACCTACAGCAGCATTATTGTTTGATATTGCAGGCCGCCACATCTCTGCACAGGAGGCTCTGAAGCTGGGCATCGTTGACCAGGTCACAGAGCAGAATGCTTGTGAGGTGGCTGTGGAGTTTGCCCTGAGAGCTGTAGGTATGTCACGAGCTGGCAAAGCAGAAATACGGATAATAAAAGCCTGAACAGTAAAGGGAAGCAGAGTCTTTGGCAGGCTTTCAGAGTCAGGGGACGTACCAGATAAATCCTTTGTCACAGCAAATGGAATTAATGTTTCATATCCTTGTCAACGAGTTTCAGAGTCGTTCTATTCTTTTGATCTATTTTTCAAGAATGTGAAAAGGAACAAACATTATTAGAATATTAATTGCGACCCCTCTGAGCATTGGAGAACGATTTAAACAAACTACATTTTTATGAATGTTTTTTTTTTTTTTTTATAATAATAGGTCAAGTTCTTGAGGATTTTATTCCCTATTATGATAAGATGGTCTTTATATCACCTCAAACCAGTTCAAAAACATGCAAAATGCTAATGATTTTACTCAGGGACTAGACTCGCTGATTGTCTTTAAAAAACTGGTCAAGTGGAGTCAAAAAATTATTGTTTATACTGTCGCTTGGAGGGTGTTGAATCATCCTCGGTCTGAAAAAGCGATTAGAGACTCTCTCTGCAGCTTCTGATAAATGAATGCCAATCCTTCACCTTCTGCGTGACCCCCATTTCCTCCAGTAATGAAAAATCATATGAGAGCAATTAAATCATTGGAAGGATTGCTAGACTCTCTGAAATATTTCTGTCAAATTATTCAGCTTTTCAAGGTCTACAGTAATTGCAGCTGTTCGTTGTACTCTACAGGCCACAAATTCTCGCTGAGACTGAGGGAGCCAGATCCCTTTTAATGTGAATGTTGTGAGTGACACTCTTAGGGAGAGATCAGGGTTCATCTAGAGTCAGGATAAGCTCTGGAGGGAGATTAAAGATTGGCCACAACTAATGCTCTCACTGTAATCACATGCTGAGCGAAGATCAACCCGGCCAAATCCTCACTACAGTCAACTAAATGGAACTGCGGAGCAGGTATGGTGGAAACAGCCAAATGTGCCTGACTAATGGTAAATACCTATTGTAAATGGTTCAAAATCGTCAAATCTTTTAGAATGTAAACAGGTTGATTCTACCTCAAAATGTGACAACAGAGAATTTGTTTAAAGAGAATGGCTGAGAATTAGCCTGGAAGTAAAATCTCATGAATGTGATAGATCATGTTGAACAGTAGGGTCCCCGAGGTAAAAATTATTTTCTTCATTGAAAGAGCTCAGCAGAGACCACTCACCTCCCTTGATGCACACAGTACCGTTCAAAGGTTTGGGGTCATTAAGATTTTTAATTTTAACATTCTGTTCTTCCTGAAAAAAGTATCACACTTTCCACAACGGACCCAATTTATATTAGGTGGCCTTAACTACTACTGTATGTACTTACCTTTAATTTAATAATTTGATACAATTGTGTACATACTGTACATACTTTTACATTGTACTTATATTTTAAAAAATACCTAATGTAATTACATCTGTAATTAATTTTTGTAAGTACATTTATAATTACACTGTTGACCCATCCCTTACACATTAACCCTCCCTTAAACCTACCCATCCCACCAAACCTGTGCCTAACCGTACTTATTTTCCCTGTTTAAGTACATAGTAGTTAAGGCCACCTGATATAAAGTGGGACCGCAGCAACTGTTTTCATCATAATAAGATAATAATAATAAACGCTTCTTGAGCACTGTGACACTGAAGACTGTAAATAGCTGCAGCTATTTTAATAGCTGCAGTAATAGTTGTAATAGCTGCTGACAATTCAGCTTTGCCATCAAAGGAATAAAT